GAACTATAATAACTGAAATGATAATAATAAAAAATAGTGTTTTAAAAGCGTTTTTTTTTTTTTCTAAAATTTATTTAGCACTTTGTTTTAAACATACAAATAATTTTTAACGAACTTATTTTTTAAATTTTCTTTCTATACTGTTAGGTAAATATATTGATAAATTTCAAATTTTTTTTTTTATTATTTATTTTTAAATTAAGAAATCTTTTGTTTATTTGAGTGATCATTTTTAGAAAATGTAGTAAAACTTACATTTACTTTTTCATTTAGAAATTGAGCATTACAATCAAACTTAATAATTATGTAATTATTTATGCATAATAGTACAATAAAATATTAATTTGTGAAAAACGCTTTAAAAAAAAGCTTTTAACACTTTGATTTAAGCGTATCATGAATTTCTAAACAAATATTTCAATAAATATTTTAAGTAAGATTTGTACATTGTAGTCAATTTATTTAATATCTTTCTTAAGCAAAACATATATATCTTCAAATTTATAAATTGATTTAAATCAATCTGAGTATGGAGTTTTGATAGAAATATGACTTTCTGTGCCTTACAAGTAAATGAAATTCAAAAATACTATATCGCGATACATCGCTATGCAAAACTGACGATGCATCACGATACATAATTTCTTATATCGCTCAGTCCTAATATCTATAAAATTCATATCAGCTTTTTTTAAACTGTTATGAAACGTTATGTTTTAAAATGCAAATTGGGACATGTTATTTTAAATTGCATGCATACAAATCACTATTTATAATTTTATTCATATAGGTTTTAAAAAAAAGCGTAACATTTTTTTTTTCGAGAATTCAAAAAGGAGACTTTCTTTGAAAAGACAAAGTATTTCTTTTTAAATTGAACAACAAAAAAAAGTCAACTGTTGCCATTAACCCAAATTAATCCCTCTTGGTTTACTTTTAATAACATTTTCAGATTTATAAAATACCCTGAAAATTGCTTGTTTTTGGACAAATGGCATTGTTAAGTTTAAGGGAGTGATGCCCCATCATCTTTTACTATGGTTATCACAGAGAAACCTTCAGGAAAGACCACCTCTATTTATGCCCACTTTTGGGAGGAGCGTAATTTTTTGTGTAGACATTGTGTTAAAGAAAACCTCACCCAGCGACGGGGCAAACATCTGCACCAAATGTGGAAAAGGTCAAATAAGGAAATTTTATAAAATATCTAAAAAAATTCAACAAAACAAAGATTAAAATTTATTCAAAATATTTGTGTGAGGCTATTATTTAGAGAGTTTTTTTTGACGATACTTGTTGCAGTCAGAGTGCACTAAAGACAATATTATCAACAATTTACTTTTAGAGCTGAAAGTTAAATTATAAAAAAAAAAGTTTTCTCTCTAAAAAACATGGTAAAATTCTATAATTTTTAAGACATAAAATTAAATGCTAACTTAAACATAAAACGTTATTGTTTATTGATTTAAAATGGCTTTATCATCCGTAATTGGTAAACTTGTTTTTGCACATAATTATATTAGTTGGAAATATTTTTATAAACGCTAAATTTTATTCAGCGAATCCGTCTATTCATGACGCTGACCGAAGTGGCATTTCTGCATCAAGAAAATGACACTGACTAAAATTGAAATAGTTTGTGAAAAATCACGTACCTTCGATAACAATTTTGAAGTCAATGGAGGTAACCTCTAAGAACAATCAGCGACCATTTTACTGTGGAACGGAGAGTGATTGCTCCCAAAAGGTTTCACTGTATTATGAACTTCATAATAAGTGAAATAAAAAAAATTCTGAAGAATGATGTCAAATACATTTATTGTAAAATTACAATGATGATGAATATTTACATATTTATAATATTGGTGATAAATTACAGGTGACTGAAACACTCCCTCCTTTTAAAGTCGATTGGATTACCAAAATAGTTTTAGTCATGTGGTTGGTCGAGGTTTCAGAATCAGTCTTCCATTCTAGAGAGAGAATAAGATAAGATCTATTAATTGTTGATTACAACACTCTATGATAATTTGTTTTGTAGTTTACTAGTCTTCTGATTTTCAGAATTTTTTATTTATTAGTCACAGATTTCTAAGTAAGTGTTAATAGTATTTTTTAGTGTTTTATCTCTGCAAGACGCACTATAATAATTTGAACATACGAGATTTAACTCACAAATCAGATTAAATATCCCACTCACTTTTTCTTTTTAAAAATTTGTAATTCATTGATAAATTCTTAGTTTACAATTACAAAATATTGTTAAAAAGGCCAATTTTTTAAACATAAAACTTTCTTAACACTATTCAACAAACTTACAAGTGATATTTTTCAACCATTTTGTGGTTAATCTATAAATCTGACTCATACCAAGATTTGGCACATGTATTATTCAATTATTTAAACTGCAAATAATCAAGATCAACTCAATTTCTAAATTAGAAGGGAAAAAATTAATCCTGGGAACTAGTTCCTGTTTTACGTGTGTATTCCGTAGACTAACACATTTCATATAATGCATGCAAAAATTTTCAGATTTTTCAAGCTCTGGTTCTTTAACAATATTTAGAAACCAATTAAATATTATAAATCAATGATTTTACATTTTGTCGCATTCCTCAAACATACCATTCCAACAATTAAATTTTGGAATTCTAGCTCTTGTAAGAAATAGAAATTTGAAAACAACTCCGTTACTCGCAGATATTTCTCGACTCTCTTTACTGTACTTGATTTGTTAGGCAAAATTTTATAACTAAAAATCTATCTTTAGAAGTAAAAATATAATACCAAAAGGTGTATTTGTACAAAAGAGAGTACAGGTCTACTGGCTTGCTTGTTGCATTTTTACCACATTATATCATAGAAAAGTATCGTTTTTATGTATTCTAGTACTACTGTACTGTGTCTGACAAGATTAGAAAATAGGGTTTCATAGGATTTCAGTCAAAAAAGGTTTTAAAAATTATTATCTAGCTACTTACGTCATCACATGACATATTGAAGTCTGCAAGCACCTGACGTACTCTTGAAACAATACTAAACATGTTAAAAAAATAAACATAGAATATAAAGCAATTAAAAATAACCACCACAGAAATTATTTTAACATCATTAGGTCCAATATAACAATTAAACTCTGATAAAAAATATATAAATATACAGTTCAAATTCCTGAAACATTTTTGCAATCAAAATAAATATCTTTTCCCTTTTTTTTAAAAAAAAGAAAATAATAAATAATTTGCATTTGCTTCAAAAACCTATTCATAATAATTTTTTTTTATTTCCCCTTTCGACCTTTAAAATAGTTAAATATTTATGCTGCATTAACCATACTTAATGAGTTGTTGATAAGACGAGCAGTTTAAGAAAAACTTTAGTGAGATTAATAAACTACTATTACTTTTAATTAAAGCCGAATATTAAATTTATAGTGTTTGAATGACAGCTATATTTCGGTTTTAATTATAACAATCTTCATTAAGAAACTGGTTTAATATTTTTATTTATTAAAATAATTGTTTTATTTTAGAATTTGAAGTTTATTTTATACAGCAATTTTTACATGAAAATCTATATTGTTATACCTTCACTTCAAAAGAAAAAAAAACGAGAAAATTTAACTTATCCTCTACTAACTTTTTTAATTTTTGATTTATAAGTAACATCCATTTATTCTTTTGAGGTTATTAAATGTCATTTAACTAATAACTAAATGCTATTGTATGAAAGACATTAACATTTATTTATTATTTTGTTGTTGAATAAGCATGTTCTGATGATTCCAGATATGGAACTTTGCTTTGTAGTATATTGGGATATATACCACGAAAATAAATTGTCAAAAATTATAAGAGTTTTTAATTAAAATTCCACAAGATAAGTGGATCAATGAATTTTTAAAATATGTTTACATTCAGTTAATGCTCAAAATAACAATCTCAGACAAACAAAAACTGACATTATACATGGGAGTGAAATTTCTTGTATAGCAACCCTAAATGTATGAGAAACGAATATAGTTAGGCAACAAAAAGCTGAGAAGTCTTTCAGCAAGTTATTAAGCATAAAAGGATACATAGATGGAGCCACCACTCTACGATGTATACCCATCATGAATAAAATAATAAGAACTGTGCTGCTTATTGTGAAGAAAAGATGATTGATCAGAGACTGCAGAAAACCGACCTGAAACATCAATTAACAGATTAATAAAAAACAAACTTGTATATTAATCCAGTTTCTGATACAATGAGGTCTTCTCTTAATTTAGAATTTTTTTAAATTCAATTAAAGTTTACACTATATTTTTTTTCTTATTTAACATTTATCCTGTATTTGACTGATAGCTAAGACGCAGTACCCAGTAGACCACTAAAGACAAGCATCAGTGTGCCGGTGGGTGAACACACTGATTAGCCTGAGAAGAGACCGAGTGTGTGCGCTATTTGTCGTCATTAAACTGTTCTACGGTAAAGGGCTCAACTTTGCATGTAGGTCATTGGGCTATCAAAGAAGGAGAGCCACTCCCTTGGCAGAGGATCAAAATTATGATGGCGTGCATAAAAAATGTTTCCCAGACTGTCACCCATAACCCATTGTGTAGCTTTAGCAGTGTATTGTGTAGCAGTGTATGAGTAGCATTGTGTATAGTAAATAATTGTGTTAGATAAATAAAGTACTACTAATAATAATAATATTCATTTAAAAATTAATTGATTATATTACAATAAATTATATTGCAAAACAAAAAGACTTTTATACCTTCAACAATTAAAACAAATTTCCACTCTTACTATCAAAAAAAAAAAAAAATTTCAGGAATTAAAAAAAAATTAAGGACCTTATAAATGTTAGATCAATTATTCATCACCAAACATACATGCGATTAAAGGTAAAAAACAAAACAGTCACACAACAGTTCATTCTTAGCCAGGGGAATCATTAAAGATAAGGCTCAATATTTTCGTGTCCAACAAATGATTGAGGCAATGAGGTCAGCATCAAACACAAGCCCCCACTGGGGCGAAAAGTTTAGAACTTTACAATGACAGCTAAGCAGATTTTAAGACTAAGTCAAAAACGTTTAGTCTTAAATATTTTCTTTTTTACGATTAACTTGTTTAAAACAACTATAAATAATGGAAATTAACGATCTTAAAGGATGTTTAACAAAAATTAAATGCTTTTAAGTTTCTTTAACTTTCAAAATAAAAGGTGATAAGATTTTAAAGACTGTAGGAAACCTGATGTAGAATTTCTAACATGAACAATTATAAAATCTTTATCAAAATTAGTTTTCTTCAGATATCTTTTGAATTGACTTATCAAATTTTGCAGCATCACGAGTTCTCCTCACAAAGTAGGAAAAATTTTTGCATAAATTGTTACATATTAATCTGTTTGTTACCGAGAATGACCAAAATCAAGAGAATATTGATTCTCACCGGTGAATGTCAACAATAACAAAATTGCTTTGGAGAATGTCTGAAATATTTGTCATATTCGATTCGATATTAATTTATTCGTTGATATTATTATATTTATTCGATATTTCAATATCTGCTAAGGATAGATTAGAAGAAACATCAGTGTTCAAAGTAACTGTTAAATGCATACTGGGCAAAGGTACTTGATCTTTAAAAAAAAACATTGATGTAGGGCACACATGGCAGTGGCACTGAACCTTAAAAAACATCAGTGTAGGGTATATTCGACAGTGGCACTTAACTAGACCTAGTATATGTTTGGGACATTTACCAAAGCAACTATGTGATTGTCAACATTCACCGGTGGAAGTCACCAATTTCAGTCATTCACAGTAACATCTATACTGTGTAAGCTCAAATAAAATATCACTCCATATGACATTAAAAAATCATTAATTTTTCACTTAAAGAACAGTGTAAAGTATATACTGAAAGAATTTCAAAAACATGTTTACTATTATATTACAATATATTACCTTTTTTAATTTGCACTTATTTATTTATTTTTGAATAATGTATGAGATTGACTCTGCTTACAATATTTTATTTTATAACCGTCGTTGAACAGCCGACCCAATTTCATGGGTTTACGACTACTTACGTTCAACTCCGTAGCCTTGTAATTTTGAACCAATCCAGAAGACAAGGAAACTCCTGGATCAGTACCCCCAGAGGTATTGATTTGTTGTGGGAACATGGAGGACTTTGAGACTCGACAGATTTAACGTGCATCAGTCACCATTTACTACACGGGGAGTCTTCGGCCGGCGAGGATCGAACCCACGACCTCTTGGATGTGGGCCCAGCGCCCTACCGACCAGGCTATCCCGGCCCTGCTTACAATATTAATAATGTTTGAAAAATTGATTCAAATGAATAAAAAAACATATATATAAATAATACTTGGGTTGTTAGAGGATCCATCAGCCACTGCCAAGCACCCATAGCTGTGCAAAGAGAGACCACAATAAACATCACTAAAAACAAAATTATAACAATTAATTTTTTTAAAAAAAAGAGTACAATAAGTCTAAACCTAATCTTAATATTAAATTCATTTCAAGTCCTTATTAAAAAAGACAATTTTGAGGTACTTTTTTCTGCAAAAATAAAGCAATATATTTCTAAAAACTATTCTTTGCTTATATCATGGTATTTGCGATTATCCCGTTGACATGTACTTTGGGATTGTCCCCTCGACCTGTCAACGCTTGCGAAAATGCGCAAATCCTTTGCATACATCATAATAAAAAGCTATTTTGAAAATAAACATTTTAACACATTAAATTTATCAAATAATAATAATAACAAAAAAAAACTGAAAGTGGTAAAAATACGTAACGAAAAAGGGTAATAATGCACTTACACATGGAATTATTTTTGAATTTAACCATATATATTATTCTAAATCACTTCGGTGGCCAAAAATTCTTGACGCTTTTAAAGCGCTAAAAAATTGCCTAGCACTCTTTTCGGTGAAAAGCAAATCCCGAATTCAAATCATTTTGTAGCTTAGTAAAAAAACAGTATATTTCAACACGCTAAAGAAAACTAACTCGCTTACTCAAGTATTACACAGAAAATATGATACAATTTGTGGTCATTGGCGCAGAAAGCTATCTTTAGGCGATAATATTGGGTTTGGCAAAAACGGTAGACGGGATAATAATATTAATTTAAATTAAGGACATTCAAGGCTGGTAAAACTGAATTTTATAATATTCATATTTTATTTAGCCATGACTATGATTTTCAAAACTAAAATATTTAAAAGAGCTTCATGTTAAAAAATTTACCACTACCAGAGATACAAAAGAAAATTTAAAAATCATATTTGATTAAATTTTATGACTTTTAGTGGCAACACGAGCCCAGGTGGCTCAAGGAGATAAAGTGACACACAATTTGCAAATCTGTATCCCATTTGAGAAATCATTAATAAAAAGGTGATTAAAATCTTCTGTATAGAATGTTTTAAATAGAATGAAAAGACTTTTGGTATTACATAAGATATATCTCACAATGTCCTCACCAATGCTTACTAATTCTACGTCTGACCCATCTTGGACAATAGTTCTGAGCTTATAATTACCACTCCTAAAAGAGTTTAATTCATCCAATTGAATTTTCCATAGTTTGTACAGATATACTCATTAAAAAAGTATACTTTTCAATGTTACAGCATACCAATAAACTAAATCTATAATTTCTTTTTGTTTCGTATTTCAAGCAATTTTAATCAAATTTTCATGAACTTTGGCTATCTTGATAGAAGATACGAGCGTTATAATTTAAGAGTTATAAGATTAAAAGTTTTGAACTACTGCTAAAAAATTTCATGCACAACTTATTTGACTTACTCTATATTACATAAATTGACTTACCTCGCCATCTTTTAGTTTGAGGCTGATAGTAGGCTATCACTTCAACAAGTCTTCTTTCGAAAGCTTTTAAATCTATGAAGTTTTAATAAAATGTTCATTTCAATAAAAAAATACATTAAATACTGACATAAAAGTATATTTGAGATAACATCTTGCTGATAGTTAAGAAGAATTATAATGGAGTATCTAAATCCAAAAGTGATATAGACATTTTTATTGAATAAAAAAAAAATAAAAACATTGTTTGTGAAATAAGTTTAATATAAGGTATAAGAACTAAAAATTACGGACTATTCTTATAATTTTGATGTTGATGCAATCAACTCAATTTTCAAAGTACGATTCGTTTAAGGTTTTAAACACAAAAATGAAACAAATCTGCTGCAATTTTTTTTCAAATTTTACTGACATATAAGAGAGATTAGGAAAATTTTCAGATTTGCCCCTAAATAATTGCACGTTTTAGGGACTTCCAAGCAATAGAATGTAAGAAAAGAAAGAAAACAGAAAGAGGCAAACGTAAAAGATGAAACCACACCAAGGCAAGACATTATATGTTTTTCTTTACTTTGTTCCAAGTTCAACAACCAGCAATTTTATTTGATAACTTGGTATTTTCAGTTAGCAAAAACAGATAATTGTGATATTTTGGAGATATTTCTGTATCTGTTTCCACCAACTAAAACCACTTAAGTGGCAAAAGAATTTTAAGTTGCAAATAAATTTTTTAAAAAAAGGAAGAGACTTGCCCAAGAATGATTAAAAGTTCAAGTTATACCTACCCTCCAATTTTCCTCCTTTATTATTATTTTTTTTTTCTTAAAGTTTCTCACAGGCTACTGTCTAGGCAAGAATATGGGAAAATGACAAAAAGTCTCAAAATACCAATCAACTTAATTCATGAAAAAAAAAAGGTGCATGTGTGTGAAACTATTTTTCACAGAAAAAAAACATTTAAATTATTTATATACATATTTAAAGTTTTTTCTTAACTGAACGCGTACATTGACAATCTAACAAACTGTTAAACTTTATAAATCGTCATTAGGGCTGCAAGTTTATCACAGGAAAAAAAAAAACGTGAGGATTTCATTTTCAACTTTATTTTGATTTTTAACTTTGATTGTTGCAAAAAAGAAGTTCAAGATTCGTCAAAAAGATCCATTTGATGGGAAGAAATAAAGCAAAGAAAGATTCGTCAGATGATGTCATATTCTCAAGTATAATAAAACATTTTTTTCTTTTGCAGATCAGATGAGAGAGAGAGAATAGCAGGTTCTTCATTACATTACATAATTGCTGATCTCAAAATGTGCAATTTGTTGCACAAGAATATCAGGGGTCCGCCTAGGTTTTTATGGGAGGTACCTATTTTGTGAAAATTTAGACATAATTCGAGAAAATTAGAAAATTATATTAAAAAACTAACACAAAAATATGGTAAAATAAGAAGATATTTTAAAAAATTGCCACTACAAATGAAAAACATTTATGATTGGTAAATTTTTAAATTTCTTTCCCCATATATTCAAAAATAATTTTGCTATTGTAAAATTTTGTGCTTAAAATTGTATATCTAAATTTAAAAATCCATAAAAATCATTGTCCATTGTTAAATTTTAACCTTGAATTAAGAAAAAAAACATGCATTTAACAATACTTGTACTAAAAGTTTTTTTCATTATGAGAACATTTCCCACAGGGTCATATAAAAAAAAGTTTCACAACGAAAAAAATGATTAATAAAAAAAATAAATAAAGGTCTTTTAGAAGAAATTTAGAACAATATTCAAATATTTAGAACAATTTTCGAATGTCAACTTCATGTTACAGAGGGAGTGCCTGGTCGTTTAATTTTAAAAATAAAACTGCGAAAAAAGCTTGCTATAATATGGCGAAGCGACCAGTTAGGCTACCACACTGCACTATCTGATCAAGCATGTGATACCTATTCGTACATGCTTAATAAAGTTGGGATTTTTTCTTACGGGGATACAAAAACAAAATTTTAAGAGCAGGAGGGGGGGAAATTCTCAGAACTTGCTTTTTTAAAAGTATATTGAGAAACTATTGTTTTTCCTAAAGTTGAATTTGTGAAGGTACCGCTAAATGGTAGTAAATTTACCCTGCACAGACCCCTGCTTATGAATATGTTAGATTCATAGAAATGATTTTTATCCTTATTTTCATTTAAAAGTTAAATAAATGAAAATGATTGTTCAAATCATTCTGGCTTTATCACAATACCAATGTGCAATGTGGAATAAACAAACAAAAAATTCCATCAGTAGAAGATTTAAAAAAAATTTCTTCAGAACACAAATTAAAAATAAATAAGTAAACATCATATACCCTAATAAACATAGATATGGTATAAATAATAAAATAAAAGTATAATAACCCATTAGCGATTTAGCAAATGGGTAAAATTGGGGAAATGTTTCACCCCAATGCACTATTTCCCCATTTAATAACATTGAAAAACTGGTTTTTCTATGCGAAGAAGACAGCGGGTTAAAATAAGACTTTTTATATGCAGAACCTTTATACATATAGAATTTTATACAGATAATTCTCTAAAGGTGTCATTTGATACAAACCAATATTTGTTAAGTTTCAGATCAATAAAATAATATTTAGACCCCAAGCTCAGACGTCAAAGATTGAAAAAAAACTTGATGTAGAAAGGTTGTTGAAACACAAATCTGGATTATAGATAAAGCTTTTAATTTTACATTTCGTAATTGAAGCGTATTTCCAAAATGAAGAGATCAAAAGATATTAGTTTTTTAATAACCCTCCCAGTAAAATCAATTTTTTAATACGTGTTAAAAAAATCTGTACATTTTGTTAAAAGCTGTGAAATCGCTCAAATAAAATATGGGGAAAAATGGTTTTGTTATGATATTGGAAAAAATATTAAAGATTTACAAAAAGTGGATANCAGAACATTTGTATAAATTAATAAGTCCTGTTGCAGAACATTTGAAAATATTCTGCTTCTGGGTAATTCTCTAAAAGTGTCATTTGATACAAACCAATATTTGTTAAGTTTCAGATCAATAAAATAATATTTAGACCCCAAGCTCAGATGTCAAAGATTGAAAAAAAACTTGGTGTAGAAAGGTTGTTGAAACACAAATCTGGATTATAGATAAAGCTTTTAATTTTATATTTCGTAATTGAAGTGTATTTCCAAAATGAAGAGATCAAAAGATATTAGTTTTTTAATAACCCTCCCAGTAAAATCAATTTTTTAATACGTGTTAAAAAAATCTGTACATTTTGTTAAAAGCTGTGAAATCGCTCAAATAAAATATGGGGAAAAAATGGTTTTGTTATAATATTGGAAAAAATATTAAAGATTTACAAAAAGTGGATAAAATCAAATAAAATTTATTTTTTCAATCTGTTATATCTTTTATAACTGGATGTTTTAGCTATTTTTAGATAAATTGTATAAAAATATTTGGTAACATAGTTTGGTAATATAGTTTACAGTTTAAGAAACTCTGTTCAGAACTTATGAAAAGACAGTACTTGAGAGGATTTAGGGAATCTCTAAACTATTTTCATTCATCATGTTGACCATATGTTTTAAATTATCAATTTTGAAATTTCAGAAAAGCACTAAAAATTGTTAAAATGTAAATGAAAATTAAAAAAAAAAAAAAAAAAAAGATCCTCTTATTTTAAAGAATTTTTTGCACAAATCACAGCATTGCAAAAAATGTATGAATATTAGAAAAAATATTAACATTTAGTGAAAAAACTGTCAAAAATTTGTTGTATTAATCATGATTAAAGAGAATAAAATAAAGTGGAATGTTTTGTATGAAGTTTAGGAAGTAGAAAATTCTGTCAAATGTCCGAAAATCACCAAAATTGGCTTTTATTTTGCGGCAGGTATTAATCCATTATGTTTCCCAGAATATTTATCTTTCAATCTATGAAGCTAAAAAAAAAAAATTTCTTTAGAATTTCTATATATTTAAAAGCAAATAAAATAAACTAAACATACTATTTGAGGGTACTATTGGGTACACATTTTCTTTTAGTGACTATTTATATTTTTACAGAGCACAAGGATAACGACTTCAAAGTCCGGTTGTTTAATAGGAAATGAAGATAGTAATCATAGAAAAATAGAACATTTCATAAACAGTATAAAGCTCCACAGCACAGAGTGCTCAATTCAAGGGGCATCCTGATCAACACTCTAATTTTGTTTAAATTTTCCTAAGAAATTAAAATAGGCACAAAAGATTGCATAGATATAAATATGTAATTGAAAAATTTACAAGAAGCCAGCACAAATGAGAGTGACAGGGATTACTCAATGTGCACAGACAAAACTTGCGAAATGTAATGTTAAATTTTTAGACGTGTTTAATAAACCACATTTTACATCAACCAAGTACGTGAATATCACAATAAATACAAATCAATAAATTAATCAGAAATTTCATTCAAATTAGTTACAATTAAAAATTAATTACACAGCACTAAAGTTACATAATTTTCTTATCTAGTTTTATAAGATAATCGCAAATTTATTTCGCATTGTTGACCTTTAGCAATAACTTAAATATATAATTTCAAATCAAGATCATTTAGGAATTTTTCATACCTTCACAGGTTGTTTGTTCTAGAGTCATTTTCAATATCCAAGGTACACGTAAGAGTAAAATCGGACAAAACTTACAAAATGAATACAATAAACTCTATTTATAACTACTTTTTCATAAATTCAGTACTCTAGCTGAAATACAAGATCACTATAGCTCTAAATAGACATACCACGCAATAAACTTATTCGGTTTAAAAGTTTCGAAATGATGAGGGTAAGTATCTTATCTTTTACGAATACACAACTGAGTCTTGAGATTCAAAATTTCGATATTGCGAACATAAAATAAGCAGAAACATCCGAAAGCATTGCCAGGTTTAAATTTTACTCATTAATTTTATTAGTTATGAATCATTTGTATTTTGCAAGCTATAAGCGCAAAATTCAGAAAGCTTTTTGCTCAATCTGAACTCTTGAAATAACAATTTCACATTGTATTCTACCTTTGCAAGCTATAAGCGCAAAATACAAAGGTAGAATACAATGTGAAATTGTTATTTCAAGAGTTCAGATTGAGCAAAAAGCTTTCTGAATCCAAAACTTACATATTTTTAAATGAAAATATTATTATTCTGTCTATTTTCGCACTGACATTGCATTATTTTCGTATTTTCTTGCAAAGTTTAGTGAAAAGATCCGCTGAAAAGCATAATTTATTGATATTTTGCTGCAAAACAAATGGAGGTAATGTCGACTAATATCCTTATAATTTTAAATTACTTATCTGCGAAAATTATTCTAGTGAATTGATTCTTCCATAATACTTCCTTTTCTTGATTAATTATCGGCTGTAATTTGATGCTGTTTAAATATATGTGTAGATTGGGCTGTTTAAATATATGTTGAAGAAATACTTAGATTAATTCATTATCAAGAGTGTTCTGAAACCAAAACGCCGTTCCGGTACTTTGTTTACCATCCGGAACGCCTTTCTGGAAATATAATTGAATATTATGGGGATATTATATGTTTTTATTTTATACATCAATCTTTATTTTCTTCCAGAAAAGGCTAAAGATCACGATAGAAATATCCGTAAGATCTAAGTAGTATTTACGATTTTTATTCTTATTGAAATGGTTTGTCATTTGGGAAAAGACTGTCGAAACTAAGTTTGACAGAACACAACCATTTCCTGTAACGTTATGGGGGTCTGCATGACCTGCAAACAACAAAAAGTTAATTGTTTAAAGTTTCTTTTTCATGTACTCCTTAATTTGGTACAAAAATTTGAAGGTCCCTAGATAAACAGGTATAAGTGAGAACATTGCTTTGTTTGCTTGAAGAAAACATTTAAACTTTTGCTGAAAAAAAAGTAAAATGCAAATAAGGCAGTTAAGGAATTTGTTGCAGAATTCTTTTCTTTTTTTTTTTCAGTTTTATTATTTGGAGCATTTTTTAAGTTAGCATTTTATATTTCTCTCTCTTTAATTGTTGTATAATAATTGCAAAATTTTATTATCATATATAATCCTTTTTAAGTATAAGTATTTTCATATACTGTATTATAGTGTAAAAAACTCGTGATGGAGTTGAAGATGAAACTTATTTCTATTGATATAATGTTTGCTTTACTTATTGTATCAGAATGTGCACTCATACAATTATTTTGTTAAACTTCAGTATTTTTCATTTTATTATTTTACATTTCTTTGCTAGTTAAAGTTAACTTCGTTGCTGCTTAGTCTGTATCTAAAAATATTATTCTCTATGATGAAGTACTTGGTGTCAATTCCTTAACTTGAATTTTCAATGTTCAACATAAAATTTGTTTTTCAGAATAAAACTTGAAACAAGCAGATATACCATTAGCTCTGTAGTTGTGATCTTAATAACTCAAGGGACTAAGATATGCTTGATAATTATTGAAACTCCGTTGATTAAATTTGACCCAAAAACATAACTTTATATATAGTGACAACTCTACTGCTAATAATGCGATTACAAAAGCTTATAAAACTCACTGTTCATTTACATTAATTATAATTGCAAGAATATGAATCTCAATGTTTCATAATATACCTATAAATACCAATTTCGATGTCTGATTTTAAAGTAACATTGATATAAATCTCCATATTTGTTTTTAAAATTGTGTGAATACAAATCTGTATGTTCCATTTTTAAGTTACTTGAACACAAATCATAATAGTGGCTTTTAAATAACATGAATGTAAAATGTGAAATTTAATATGAAATAGTGTAAGTACGAAACACAATGTGGGAACTTGAATCGTGTAAATACGAAACGTGATGTTTAATTTTTTAAATGAATTGAACACGTACAGCGGTCATATATACTATACATAACTGGAAATCACCCTCAATAAGCTTCATTCTGTCATTGCTATAAATTTATCTTCTTTTTATGTTAGGAAGAAGAAGATATTTCTGAGCTATTAAGGAAAGGACTTGTACTAACAGATAATCGTAAATACGATGAAGCAGAAACTCTTTTTAAATGCATCATTGCTACGTTAGAGAAGTGTAATGCTTCTTCAAACTGGTAAGTATTAATTGATCGATATAAAGATTTTCGAAAGTTGTAGAAAAGTTTTTATGTTGAAAACCAACTTTTTGTTACCTGTATTTGGTAACTTTTAAATCATCGAATTATTTTTTTATTTTTAACATTTCTCAAAATTTTCTAGTCGCATTTTTCTTATTTGATTAAAAATGGTTATATAATTTCATATTTTGTAGAAAAGTAAGTTTACTGAAGTTAATAATGTATCTTGACTTTATATATTATTTACGTGTGCCTTTTTTGAGGATTTAATTTAGAAAGTTTTTTTTTTTTTTGTGAATTTATTATTTAGATACTCGTTGCTTAGCTGGATGCAAACAAATTCAAATATATTATTTCTATTTTCTTTTAAATTCATAGATAAAAAGTAAATCATTAAAAACAAAATAGAAATAAATTAAAAAATTTTTGAATTTTCTTGTGCCTGGTAAGCAGAAAAGTACTAATATTTCTTTATTCATTTCTACTTAATCGTTTTTTTTTAGGTGTATTTTATTATTTTATCTTAATAATTTGCTTTTATAAACTAGAATATAAACCAGCTGAGCTTCTAAAAGTTTATAACAATGTTTCTGTTTTCGTTAAATATTATTATTGAAACTTCTATTCAAATATTTGTTTTCACTTACGAATTTTTTTTCAACTTGACAAATAAATGTCTTATTTCTATTATCCAAATGGTGCATATTTTTGCGTAATTAATTTGTTTTAATTTTCATGAATTAATTTATTATCTGTTTATGTTGACAAATCTTTAGTAGCATTAGTTTTTCTTATAAATGATTAAAATTGAAAAGTGCTCGCTCAATAAATTTTTGGGAAGGCATTTAGATGAGGATGTGAAAGTTATAATAAGTTTATTTTAACTTATTTATGTTTATTTTTTTCTAAGAAAATTTTTATTTTGGCTAATTATATCTTTATGTTGTATATTTTTGGCTAAATTTTGTTTCTCCTGACTATTAACAGAGTTCTGGAGCTGAAAACATTTTAATATGCCAGCTCTGCTTCCAGATTATAAGTAAAGCTCCAACACGACAAAGTATCTGGCAATTTTATGACATATGCATGCCCTTTTGAGTTTCAGATTTTAATTTGAAATTTGTATTATAAAAATTTTCATTTAAAAGAAACATAATTGCTTTCTCAAAAACAAAAAAATACAACTTTAATTTAATTCACGGTTAAATATTTGTTCATTTTTAAGAAAATAATTTAATCTAATAATTCTTTCTCCTTCATTTATCTGAAATATTATGAATGTATTTTATTGCTGAGAGTACTTTTTCTACAGTTACTCGAATAACCAGCTATGCAAATACTACGAGGCATGTCTCTTGATTGTCTGTAGGATACAATGAAATTGCTGGAGCACACAAAAAAACTAGAGCTCCAATTCCTGGAAAATTGTTGGTCCTGAGCTCTCTGTTTGCAGACTTCAGCTCCAAGACCCCAATTTTTAGACTAATTATTTTTTTATTTTTAACTTTTTATTGTAGTAGTTAAATCTATATTTAATTAATTAATATATTAATTAAATCTATTTATATGCTATATTTAATCTTTATTATTATTAAAAAAATTTTGTTGATTAATTATTTGTTTTATTTCAGTAGTCCGTACTTGTGTGAAGCTTATAATAATTTAGGTCTTATTCAATACAAAAAGGTGGAATTTCAGAAGGCTATAACATCATACGATCGATCTATTCAGATTGATAATTCTTTTGCACCAGCATACTATAATCAAGGCACTATCTATTACCGTCTCGGTAAGTAAGTTAACTCACGATATGTTTGTGAGTTTTATATGTACAGTAAAACCTCCAAGAATGATCACCTCTATGTAGGGACTACCTCTATTTACGACTACTTTTGAGAGGCACTGAATTTTTTTCGTATACTTTCTGTTGAAGAAAACCTTTAGGAGTGACCATTAAAACATCTCCCAGCAACCTGGCAAACATCTGCACCAAATTCGGAAAAGGTCAAGTAAGGAAACTTGAAAAAATTTCGAAACAAAAATTTGACTGAACAAATAGATTAAAATGTATTCAAAATATTTGTGTGAGGCTCTTATTTAGAGAGCTCTTTTTGAGGATGACAACCTCATGTTGCAGTCAGAGTGCGTTATACACGATGCTATCAATGATTTTCTTTTAGAGTTGAAAGTTATATTGTAAACAAATTTGTTTCCAGAAAAAACAAGCATCTCAAATGAACAAACCTCTTCCCATCTTTTAAAGCTAACTAATTTTTACGATATGATATTAAATGCGAACTTAAACACAAAATATAATTGTTTATTTAAAATAGCTTTATCATTCATAATTAGTAAATTTGTTTTTATACATAATTATAACAGTTGGGGTCATTTTTATAGACTCTAAATTTTAATCATCGATACATCTTTTCACGAGGCCAACAAAAGTGGCATTTCTGCACTAAGAAAATGACACAGACAAAAATTAAAATCATTTGTGAAAAATCACATGCCTTCAATAACAATTTTCAAGTAAGTGGAGGTAACCTTTAAGAATAGCCAGCCTCCATTAATGACCATTTTACTGTGGAACGGAGAGTGGTCACTCCCATGATGTTTCACTGTACATTTATAGATAAATGCTCACACACACATCATATTTATATATAATATATTGATGAGACTTAAAATAAACAATTTTCTAATCGTAAAAAGTGTACCCCCTAAAGTTACATTTATGGGTGAGAGCTATAAACATATTAGTAATTAAATATAGTAACAAAATAGTAATGTTTTGCACATTAAAAAAATATATATATGTAGTTAACATCTGATTATACATGAATATGTTAGAGCTGACAACTGTGTATAATTGAATTCCCATTTCATCAAACTAACCAAAATGCGTCATACCTTTTTTTTCCTGTGTTCTAACCATCTTTATTAGTATCACTTTTTTTTTATATATATAATTTTATTATTGCTAAAATAAGAAATTATTGTAAAGACTTTATGGTGTGCATGCAAAATCTTATGTGAGCAAAATAGGAGAAGGTGAGGCAGGACAGTGTACTTAGCTTGAAATATGTTTTAAAAATACTTATATAGCTAAATAATAGAGCTATAACTGTTTCCATGAACAGGTAATTCTTTTATATTTTCATAATACAATATTTAAAAAAATGAGGGATTGATTTTTTATTTAATGAAGAAAAACATCTGTTACTAGTGGAACATTTTTTAACTATCACTTTAAGCTTTAAAAAGAAACATTTAACTGTGCTATACTAAAGACAATCAAAGATATTTTCTGTAATATGTACTAACTGTAATTATTAATTGTAATGTCAGCAAGTATGTACACCTTACCATATTAATAAAATCATAAAAAGCTACATTACAAGCGTAATAAGTTATAGAATATTTTTTCCCTTGCTTATTGTCTGCTGTAAATTAAAAAAACTTATCCTATTGGCCATAATTTATTTTTTTCTTTCAATGAATTCTCAAATTTAGTATCAAAATTTAATTTTTTACTTCGACATTGATATAATGTATAATGTTAGACTTTTTGTAATTATTACATTTAAAAATTTCTTTATGTAATTTTTTTTTGTATGTGTTTTATTAATTTAATTTCTACTTTTTATGAACATCATAATTCCTATTTAAATGCTGTTGGAAGAGTATTGATTATTATTTTCAATATCTTAGTTTTTTATTTATTTTTTTAAATTAAATAAATAAATAATTTTGTGCTTCGTCTAAGGTTAGGCATCAATATAACTGTTATTTGTTGCGAACATCTTGTTTTGAGCTTTTTTCAAAATATGAAGTTATTTTACATCTTTCAATCATGCTTTTATTTTAAAGAAACATTATAAAGTGCTCTCATCAGTTTTTCTTATTTTAAATGATATAGTATTTATAGAGTAAAGTGAAATATTATAACTTTTATTTAGCCTCCTGAAGGCCAAGATATTGGACAGCATTCAGAAAAAATTTTTAAATAATATTTGAATATTTTTTTTTTCTGTTCGTATGGTATGCCTTTACAAAGAGATTGTCTTTGTGAAAATATATTCACTCTTGTCAGTCAAAGTTTTTAGTTACAATAAAAAAGTAACTAAAAATGTGAGAAATTCTTTTCAAACAAACCTTTGTGACAAATAAATGTCGTATTTTAGTCTAATGAATTTTATTTCACAACCAAAATGTGATTAAATATATGATGAATATATGATGAATTTCTTATATGATGAAATATCCTACAATATGCAGAAATCTTAAAAATTAAATTGCTATTTTTTATTATAATATTATTAAAAATATATCAGTTTTATTAATCGCGCTTTTAAAAAAATATATTTTATCACATTTATCAGTTTACTTTCTTTTAAGCAACATATTTCTGAGTCAAAATCTCATTTTTTTGTCATTATTTAAAGCTCGAGTCTCTGGAGGTTAATATGTTAAAATGTTCTAAGTACTTTGTAATTATTCTATTACAGAGTTTGTTTGTTGTTGTATTCTATTACAGAGAAATGCTTATCACTATTTTGTTCATAGTGGTTTGAATACTTTAAAACACTCTCGTTTGTTTTATCCAATGTTGTTCTTCATAGCTCAAAATTTGAACAAGCAACTGGCCAGTTGTACCATTTTTAACATTTGCGCATTTTTAAAGAATATGCCTTTCTTTTAAAAATGGAAAATTTTAAATGATTTATAAAACTGTTGGTCTTAATAATGTAAAGCTTTTGAAGCATTTCTCAAAGTATGGTAAGCATTACGAGGTTCATTTCTAAAAAAAATTTGAAAATAAGTGGGAAATAAAGTAACTTTACGAATATTATAAAATATTTATTTCAATTACATATTATTAAAAAAAAATGTAGGGATTTGCTGACAAATTTTTAACTGCCATTTGTTATATTTAGTTGTGACAACTGCTAATTTTGCAAATTTTAATTTCTAAATAAAAATAATGCTTTGATAAATTCTTGTATTTGTAATTTTTTTTTAAAAAAAAAAGTATGTTTGAGGCAAGCATGCAAAATTTCTAGAGAGCCAGCAAATTTTTCACTAGCCTCAGTGACTCGATGGCTGGGATTTGTAGACCTCTGTGTTTTGTGAACTACCTTAATTTCACTAGCAACCCTCTGTAATATACAATTTAGGATATTTAAATGAAATCAAATAAAAGCTTGTCATGGCACAAAAATATAAAAAAAATTAAGGCATGCATTTTGTTCTAGAGTTATTAATCATGATTTTAATTTCTTTGTTAATTTATATTTTTATTTACTTAAATTTTATAAAAAAAATTTTTTTTAGGATCTTATGAAACTGCCTTGGAAAAAATGACAAAGGCTGTGTCTCTGCAACCTTCGAATATTGAATTTCAGAAAGGATTTAATGCAACATTTAAAATAATCAGAGACCACCCATGGGTGATGCCAGTGCAGTACAGAATGGAAATACAGGACTGAAATGTACTCTAATATGTGCTCTGTAAGAAAAAAAATTGAAAAAGGCCAAACTATTATGCAATTTCAATTATGTTTTAACTATTAATGTTCTCAATATTCATTTGTACATATATTTATGTACATATTCATTTGCACATATTTACTTACTCTAATTTTGATACAAAATAAAGGATCGAATTAAAGATTTTGCTACGTCTAATTACTAAACTTCTGCTTGAAATATGCTCTGTTCACAAAAAAAGTATATAAGTGTGCTTCTAAGTATATAAAACAAGTTTTAACCCCTTCCTTCTCGCTCCCGTGAAAATGACGGGGTGAGGTTTCGCCCTCTATTTCTCACTCCCCTTGATATTTCCTGGCTGTAGTGTTCAGTAGTAATGCGCCAATAAGAATAAAACTAATTCACAGGGCTGATTGTGCTACGGAAATATTCCGGATTTTTCGCTAAACGTGATCCGAAGATGGATGGTTCAGTTGTTTCAAAAAAATCATTGATCACAAAAGTTTCCGGAAATCAAATTTTCAAAGGTGGAACTTAAAAACACAGTTTATTTTATTTGTTTGTAGGGGAAAGCCAGATAAGCTTATATTCAAGATTAATATTTATTTTTTATCAGTAAATAGTTATGATAATCATCAACTCAAGAAAGCAAGACATATTTGTAAATTTCAATTACTTTTCCAGGTCATCATAGTTATGTGTAAATGGTATAAGTATGTGTAAAATTTTAAATATATTTTAAGTAAACTAAGAAATATTGTGAAAAAGGAAAAAACCTTGTTTATATTTTTTCTAATTTTTTGATTTAAACTTTTCTTGTTACTCAAGAAATTTTCTGGAATTTTGACTTGGGCTCACAATCACCCCTGAATTCATTTCTTTTGCCCAGTAAACATTTTATTTCTTATTTTACACACCAGATGGCAGTCACAGGATATTTTTAAGGTAATTGTAGATGGCAAAGTTTGTTGCTCCAGAAGAGATGAAAAAAATAAGAGATGTAGGATGGAAACTTGGTACTATAGTACCAAGTTTCCGTCCTACATCTCTTCTAGTACAAGTTTCCATCCTACATAGTCACAATCTGGACAGTTATAACTGTCCACATTGTGACTTTGGCATCGGTATCTCAAGCTTTGAAATTTATCACAAGAAAAAATTACTATTCTTTATTTATATTATACGTAAGTTAAATAAAATTCTTTTTTTATGTTTAAAACACATATTTCTTAAATTTTCCTTGATTACTGGAAAGTCAACATTAAGTCATAGTAACCCTGAATGTTGGCTTTCCCTAAAAATTTATTTTATATAATTTTCAGGGATAAAAAAAAAAATAGGCACTTTTATGACCGTTTTCTTGAAAATTAACCGATTGTTAATGGGTTAAATCCTTCTAGAGATTTTTTTATTATTTTAACATTTTATTTTGAATTGCGAATGCTAAGCGATGAAACATTGTGATTACTACAACCTTCTGTTTCTCAAAGGTGCTTCACAATTGATTAAAAAAAAAAATGGTTTGACAACTTTTTTCCTTCTATTGCTAATGCTAAGAACTCTAAAATAGAATTTCAAAAAACTACTGAAGTAAAATTTATTTAAAAAAATTTTTTCCCTCTATGTGTAGATTGCCATATAGAGATGGCAACTTTGATACTCCAGCCCCCGAAAATCGGGCCTTGTCTTGGGAATTTGACTGCCCAACTAATTGAGGCATGGAGATCTACACCGATGGCTCTAGAATGGAGGCAGAAGATGGGAAAATCACAGAACTGCTTACACAATTATTTTTAAGCAAGTTTCGAAAATTATACACTAAGCCTCCCACGGACAATACAAACATCTTTATAGCCGAACTGTTGGCGATCAACACTGTACTCACTTGCCTGCGGAAAAACCATATCAATGATGCCCAACTGTACACAGTTTCGCTCTCCTCCCTGCAAACCCAGATAGATCCCGATCCGAATTTATTTTGTCCTAAAATTATCTGTGATTTAATTTAAAAATGTGCTTGTGCCGTGTAAATCTTTTTGCGTGATCTATTTATGTTTAATTTACGGACTTCATACTAGGCGCGAATCCCAGGAATCGATTTGCATTCTGTGCTCGGAAACTCGAAAAGTAAGGATCATACTAGATCAACGCCTTATATCCCCGTTAATAGATGGGTCGTTGGTCTAACCGAGGATATATTTTTTGTAGTTTTCTATTTGTCTAGTCCAGTTAGTTGTTTGATTTAGGTTTATTGAAAAAGTCCTCTTGATAGGAAATGTTTAATCCAAGGGTCCCTTTGTCTTTTGCGTTGAGTCAAAATATCAATGAGGTTAAACATATTGGTTGTCGCAAATTTGTTAGGGTTTGACTGTTCACCACCAGCTGTAAAATTAATTTCTGCTTTAGTGAATGAGTCGCGTGCAGTATTCTATTAAAAGATAAATATGGTGGGATGCTCATTGAGTAAGGGGAAAGCGGTTTATAAGAGGCGAATTTTAATACTTTTCCATTAACATGTCCACTATATCTCCTATGAACATCTTAATACAAATGATTAGAGATTTCTTTCCCCTTCGCCTCTTATTTCAATGTGAGGTCCGCCTAAATCTTTCAACAGTCGCAGGATCTTCGGATTCACAGTTTAAGTGATCAGCTAGCTTTAAAGTATCAATTCGAACCGATTTGGATACAGTAATAGTGTATCTCAATTGAGATCTACTAGTATTGTATCCAAATCGGTTGTTTACAAGATTCTACGTTTTGTCTAGACTTTAGAACTATGTTTAATGTATGTTTTCAGCTCCATATAGTTTCCTAACTTAAGGAAACTATATGGAATTAGTCTAACTTAAAAGATGAATAATCTTTATCAAAGCCTTCCTAAAGTGAACCGTGAGCTTTTTCTCTTGCAGCAAAAAACCATTCGTATTAATGATTCTCTAATGCATCTTTTTTTCTTCTGTCGATCTCATCGCATGTGGTACTTTAGAACCATGCATATTATAATTTTGTGGGGAATAACTACAAGTGTTTAAAATGACCCACAGTGGTTTAAAATGAATTCTGGCCTTTTTTTTCTGATGCTTTAAATTATAAAATTCTGATCGCATATTTTCAGACATTCATTCCCAGTAGACCTTTCCAAGTCAAGCATCTTTGGCTGTGGTCAGTGACTAAATAATTGACCATATGGATCAGTCCCCAAAGGATAGTCGGCTACCAACGTAGGAGAGCAATCCCCTTTGTAGAAGATAAAAATTGTGAGGGCATGCTTTCTATCAGATCTCCCTCAGAGATGTTTACTTCTAGGGCAATGTAAATAAAGTACTTCTACTTGAGGACTATTCTTACTGCATGCAGTTCACGCAGCTCCGATCATCGTCTGGACAGAAATTGATTTGTAAATTTATATTCCTCTGGCTTATAACTCTCCATGGCGATCGCAACACTCGCATACGCCATCTGGGGAGAGATCGGTTTCATGCCTTTAGCCCTTCTCCCTTCCCTCTCCTCGTGTGCGGGTGGGCGACCACTTGGATCAGTCTGCGTAGGGACCGAGGGTGTGCGATATTGGTCCTCGTTAAACTGTGCTACCGTAAAGTGCTCGACTTCGCGCGCAGGTCGTCGGGCTACCGAAGCGGGGGTGTCATCCCCTCCGCAGAGGATCAAAGTGTGATGGCATGTCTTCGGATTATCCTCCGGGATGTTTCCCAGACCGTCGCCAATAGCCCATTGTGCAGAACAACAACCTTCCATCTCCTCTTTTCAGTTGTATAGGAATGTACTACGATATTTTCCTTTTTCTTAATATTTTTCTTTTTTTATTTAATAAAAATATTTTTTAAAATTTCCGTGATACTCTCTTTAGAACTATGTTTAATGTAGTTTTCAGTTCTATATAGTTTTCTAACTTAAAAGATTTCAATCTATATGAAAATCAAGAGAGAAACTAACGTACTTCCTTCCTCTATGACTTTCCACACGCTAATGGGGAAAGCATGTAAAGTGTTGCCATAGGTAGAGAGTTCTGCTCTACGCCACCTGCAGCCCATTTCGATCGCCAATCGGATCGGATGAAAGGTGTGGCTACTGCATTAAGTGTGAATGCTCTTTTAGTGGAAAGAAAACCTTGGAGTTGCCTTGAGGTTTCTTTTTATCAATCAATCAATACAATGGCTGACTGTTACTGAAATCGTCGAAAACAGAAACTAGTCAGACACTAGCGATGTTTTGCTTCACTGCATTAATATTAATATTTTCGGAGTAATTATTTAAAATGTGCCATTAAAAAGATATTTTTTTTTAAACGAATTGATGTTCATTTCTTTTTTTAATAAAAAGTAACCTCGAAAGACCATTGCTTTTCTTTGCTACAAGTGAAGCTTTTTTTTTCTTCATTTTTTGTATTGACAAAATCTCCATTAATGTAACTGATTACGAATTTTAAAAATTGAAATCATCAATCAAGTTTTAAATCAAATCATGGGATTAATCTTTAGTCGACAGAATGCTAGGATTGAAGAAATTGATGCAATATCAAACAATGCCTATAGATATCCTAACAAGGAAGGTAACTATTTTGCTAATCACTTCATCATGGGTGGTGAGCGATTCGAAACTACCCAACCTGAAGCTTATCTTTTTGGAGAAAATTTTGATTTAAATTTCTTAGGTCGTAAGCCTACTCCTTTCCCATACCCTGCTCCTCAACCTAATGAGCCAACAAAAACTTTAAGAAGTTTGATTAATATACGAAAGGAATCGTTGCGATTTCTGAAAGTACCAGATGTTCCATCTGCCGAAAATCAGGACACTCCGCCTGTAAGTACATCATACAATATAGAATTTACGTTCGATTCTGATGTCCGATGTGCTATTACTATTTATTACTTTTGCACTGAAGAAATTACAACAAATGGTGTTACTTACACTCCACAAGATGCATCGCATAATTCTGAAACTTATCACTATAAAAAAGGCGTCAATCAACAATTCACCCAAACGGATCACGTGATTGATCCAAGTAAATATCCGGAAGACATGTTAAGCTATAAGTTCGAAGACGAAGTGATACCAATTTTAATCCAATGTGTCGCAGAGGAAGGGGAAGACCCTAAGCAGCAGCACATGGTTCTGGCCATCGTCGAAAAGAATCTCGACGGTTCGTACACTCTAAAGCCATTGAAGCAGAAACTTTTTGTTGACGGTCTTTGTTATCTTCTGCAAGAGATCTACGGCATTGAAAATAAAAATGTGCCTCAAACCAAAAATATTGTAGAAGAAGATTTAGAAGACAGTGGATCAGAATGTGTCATATGCATGAGTGATGCTCGCGATACGTTAATATTACCTTGCCGACATTTGTGTCTTTGTAACTCTTGTGCAGATTCTCTTCGGTATCAGGCCAATAATTGTCCCATTTGTCGGGCACCATTTCGAGCTCTGCTTCAAATCAGAGCAGTGAGAAAATCCAACACGCCTTTACCCCAAATAAGTGGTGACAGCCAATCAACTCAGGATATACCACCTGGCTACGAGTTAGTTTCACTGATCGAGGCTTTGAACGGTCCAGTTCAGCCCTCTGCGCCACTCGTTCCTTCCTTTATTCCATCCACCCTTCCACCATTTGGCAACAGTCCTGACATGAGACATAAACATCGCTATTTGGATCGAAATTATTCTAGTTGTGCGTCTAGGATTGGAGAGACCAGCGAAACTGAGAAAAGCGTCTCTTCGTGCAGTAAGCTGTCTGGAAACCCAGAGGTGTCTAATATACCAGAGGTATTGGTAACTTCTATGGTGCCAGCGGATAAAGCTCCACAAAAAACAGAATCTCTCTCTTTGACGAGAGTAGACGTTAAGAAACACCGTAAAGGGTTTCGAACGTCGTCGGCACCGGAAAAGATGAGACTTCTCACCAGTTCTATGGAGACTGTCAATGACGGTGGGAAGCGAAAATTGGATAAATATGCTGATGCTGCTGAAACCAGATCTCTGTTGGATAGTAATTTTGCGGAGGAATTATCTGCTCTTGCTATAGGCTCTTCGAAATCTACTCAGTCCTGCGCAAGAAGCAGCCCTATTTCACTCTCCACCCCACATTCATTACATCTTTGTGAGAAATCCATTAAAGATACGTCTCCTAGTGGCGAAGATTCAGATTACTACACCCCTGAAGATCCATCGACCACGATCCTCGTCGATCAAGGTACCGATACGAGTTTAGACACCCCTCACGGGACAGAGCCCGTAAAATTTAGCGATTCTGTCCCCAAGACCAAGAATATGGAGAGGTCAAAGAGTAGTCTAGAAAAGAATGTGGCCAAATCTGAAAACAGTGCTCTTGATTCTGCTCTAAACGGTCAGTCGCTGGTAGTTAAACTAGAAGGTATCTCCTCGTTACCCGGAACGCCCGCAAGCAATACCAGTAACTACAGTGGTGATAGTTTCAGCAGCACTTCGAGCACCCGTGTTTTACTCCGACCTCAAAGTTGTGATACTTTACCCGAGTGAGAAACAGTTGTGACTTTTAACTGCTGGTTTTTAAACTCATATTTAAATGGTTTGTTGTTATGCAAAAATTGTGTTAAACAATCTTATTTGAAAGTGGAGGTGCACAATCTTTATCGTAAGAAAGCTACATGACAAAAAAATAAATTGTAGGGTTTTAGGGTGCTTCAATGAATATAGTTTTGATATCAATTGATGTTAATAAAATAGATATTACATTTCTCTTAAATTAAAATTTTTAAGTTGATCAAATTACTTGTAATAGTTTTTGCAAAGAATAGGATGTATAATGTTATTGACGGAAAATTTGTACGCTTAGTTTTTGATAATAAAATTTAAAATTTGCCTCTATGAAAAAACTAGTTTTATTATTTTTTAAGTAAACAAATTACACTTTTAATTTTTAAATAGATCCTTAAATTTGTTTTGATAAATAAATATAAAAAGAATGTGTTTATGTTAAAATCGTTATCAAAATAAGCATTATTTGTTACTTTGAATTAGTATTTATACATTTTGGAATTGTAAAATTTTTCTGTTTTTCAAAAAAGATATGAAATCAAATTTAACTATTTAATTTGAAGAAGGGAATCTAATTATTAGATAGTAGTTCAGAGTAGTTTATGAAATAAGATATGTTATTAAATTTATTTTAAATTTTTGACTGATAAGAAAAAGGTCGTGAATTATTCATTCAAGGATATTATTTGACCCATGGACGGCAGGTTGTGCACTTCTGATTTAGAGTATACATTTGATATTTTGCTACAGTTTCTTTTTGCAAAATTTCATGCAATGTTATTCTTTATGCCTTTTTTCTTTTTCAAATTTTATTAATTTTTCTCTCTTTTGCCATGCTTTTTATGGCCAAAATATCACCAGAGATCTTACTTGTTTGAGGAAATACTTCTCTTATCCAGTTTTTATCTAATATGAAGTGATGTCTTAAAATTTTTTTTTGTATTTATTCATTTGTTATTTTGAAACCTGTTTTACATTTTGATTATGATGTTTACCTTTCTAAACCCTAGTACACTGATTGTCTATATAATCAAAAGGTTGAAATGCTGATAAAATATTCTGTAGCTTGATTTCAAATCTGTTTTAATGTGAATTTACCTTATTTGCTGTTAGTTTTATTACTTAATGGCTATATAAGATTTATTTTAAAATGTAACTTTTTTTGTTGTTGTATATATTGCTCTTATTTATTTAACATTTATTGTAGTTTTTAATTTTCCTATTGTAAATAGTACCAGGCAATCTCATTGACAGGGTGAAAAGTATAAATGCTGTAGAAAGTCTCATATTAGAAATATAAAATTGTATTTTCACATTTTGGTTGATTTTGAATATCAATGGTTTTTAAGCTCTATGTAATTAGCATTTGCTTATAGCTTTTCTGGTGATGAGTTGATATTATGTTTCTTATTACATAGGAATATTTCAGTATCAGTACCTATCCATTTTAAGCATGCCTCCAAAAGTGTCTTTAGCTTGCAAATATTAATAACATATGTATGTTTTGTTTTGCCCAAGGGTGGCTTCAAGTTAAACCTTTCCAGTTGGTCCCCTTATGTGATTTTTTCTTAATGCTTTCTTGCTGGCCACTGCCTCTAAGTTGCCAAGACTTAGCAATTATTTTGTCATAGTTACTGATACGCAAATCTTCCCAATTGCATTGCTAGAGGGCTTCTATTAAAAAATTATGTATATCCAATTGTTATTTTTATCTTTTAATCAATAACTTTTTAATTAGTATTATCTTTATTATATTATGGGTTAAAACTATGAAATAAAGAAAAAAATTCTTGAATATTTGTAGTCTTTATGATGTATGATAATACTCTTGAATTAGTTTTAATCTTTACAGATAATATGTAAGTAAATTTCTCTATTAAATGGGCAGATGTAACTTAAAAGGTATAGCAATGAATGTAGCAGTTTATTTTCCTCTCATGTTTACAATCTAAATTCATTTTTTTTATATAAATTTGTTCCATGTCTACTAAAGAGTTCCCTTGTCTAACATCGAGAGTTACGAGATGTAACATATGGGTAATATTCTCTGATTAATTTAAAGCAAAACTTTTCCAAAAAGAAATGTAATAAACACTTTTTCAAACATGGAATTTTCGACAAGATATTTTTTCCCCATTGAATCTGAAACAATTTTTTATTATTCAAAGTGTCTTAATACTAGAGTGTGAAAGTATTGTTTATAACTGTAATGTTTGAAATAATTAGATTTTAATAATTAAGATCTGGCTCTTTTACCAAGTTATTTATGTTAGTAATGAAAAATTAGCAGTTAATTTTTTGATAAAACACAAATTTTCTTGCTAAGAATTTATTTTGAGAGGACATTTTTTCAAATTAGCTGAAGAGTCTACTTTAGTTTTCAAAGAACTAAACTGGATACACTTTTGGTTGGGAAAAAATGCTACTACCAAAGCAACAAAGGATTTTCCTATGTGTATTTTTTTTTCCTACTTTAATTATGTTAAATTTTAGACGGTTAAGCAATAATAAAATTGAAAATTAGATCTTAACAAACAAGTTGTTATAACAGTAAAAAAATTTCGCTGCAAGCAAAATTCTTTTATTACTTAGTGAAAATAATACTTTCAATCTTAAGGAGAAATTTTTCTAGGTATGGTAGACTCTGCTATCTTTTGGACAATTTTAGTTTTATTTCACTAAGCAAATTTAATAATTCTATAACTTAAGTGAAGTATAGTAGCTCTAACTTACTTTTGATGCCATAATTTGGGTTTTAATGTATTTCTCTGTACTAGGATTTATTGATTTAAATCATTATGCTAATGAGTGATTTTTTAAAAAAAAAGTCATTGCTTTAAATCAAATAAACTTATTTAATTTTTGAAGAAATCCATTATTTAAGATTATTATTGATTTTCAAAATTTATTATGCTAGTAAATTTCAATTAACAAAATTGTATTAGTACTTAATGTTTAATAAATTATAGCACTTACTAAATGACATTTTAAATATTTATTTTTCTGGAATGGTAATGAAAATAGTAAACAATTAAAACACACGAAGAAATATTTATCAAATGGTATGGTATAAGGCAATATATTTTATATGTAAAATAATAATAAATAAATTAGAATAAAAACCCTTCCTTTTCTGTTAGGCAAAATACATGGCATGTAATATGAATTTTCTTCAAGTAAAATTTTCTTTTAAATTAAAAATTTTATTTGGTTATAATTTTTTTTTTTTAAATTGGCGGTTTAGTCTAGGACATTCTAAGTAGGCCTTGACCTATAATGAAATGGTGGCATCACTGTTGTAGTGGCAAAGTTTTCTTTGAAAAAATTTTAAAAATTCATACAGTTAATATTTATTTTCTTAAAAAGTAAAGAACTGTTATTTAAGCTTTTCTTTCTGACCTAATTTGGTTTAAAATTCTCTGAATTATAGCCACTTCAAAATAAGTCTCTCCTCCCTTAGTGTATTTTGAAGCTTTTTCTTCATGCAAAATAAAAGGTAGAATAGTTTTATGAACAGCGATACGGCACACTCTCGGACCCTAAGCAGACTGATATAAGTGCATTTTTGAAAAGAGACTTATCTACCGTGTTTCTTTAATCTAAATTTGAAAAACCGTCTGGTTTATGCAATATAGCCAAGATTGCACTCTCGACTTCCATTCTAGTTTTTTTTTTTTTCATTTTTATTTTTCATTGGCAACAATGCATTTTTAGTTCAAATCACTTTAGTATTCTTCATTAACGCCTGCCGAATCTTAAGAAATCGGTGCCTATTTTTGAGCGTGCCAAATATTTGCTTCAAACTTTTCTATTCTCAGGTCTCACTAGACCAGAGGTTGCCAAAGTGGTCTATATAGACCCCCAGGGGTCTATGTAACGAAAATGGGGGTCGATCCGAATCGGAAGGGTCGAAGAAAAAACAGTTCTTAATACGTAAATCCCAAATATCTAATTGAGTATGTAAAATTTGTGAATTTTTTTTATAATTGACTTAATATCAGTTTCTTTATAGAACATAAATTAATAAACGCATCATCAAAAACGTGGACATCAACCTGCAAGATGAGTTTGCTGAATTATTATCGGATCTTGAAGCAAAGACGCTTTTTAAAAATTTAACAATAAGTAAATTTTGAACAAATATAAATATAATGCAAAAATATGTAGAACTTTATGAAATAGCTCAGCCTTTTTATGCTAGCTTTTCCAAGTTCCTATATGGTTGAAGCCGGTTTCAGTCACGTAAATTCAATCTTAACTAAGTACAGAAATAAATTAAATGTGGAGTTACGAGGGGATTTAAAATTAAAATTGACCAATTTTGAACCCAATATAGCGAACCTTGCAAAAAAACACCAGGCACACTCATCTCATTGGTTAAGAAGCAATAAATCAGTAGTTACTTTACTTATAATTTCCACTTATTTATAATTACTTATTATTTAATAAATATTAAGGTATTTAAATTTCAACATTAATATATTTTTTATAAAACTATTGTTACACAATGTGCTATTACTTTAATAAATGTTTAAATCATGAAATAAATGTACAAACACAGTATAGAATTTTATCTTAATTAACGGAAAATTTACTTTTATGGGGGTCGATGGAGATTTCGAAAAATTATATAGGGGTCGATGATGAAAAAAGTTTGGCGACCCATGCACTAGACGTTATTGACTCGTGAAGTGAATTTTTTAAAGCTCAAAACATGTTGACTTTTATCTTCATATTTTTTGAAAACAATGAAATATTTATCTTCCCGCTTCAGTTTCTGGGGATTATCCATTCAGTTACCCCAGTATATTAAATTAAAATACTTAACGCGATATGTAAATTAGTTTTATGTAAGATAATGGTTATGGCTCTCAGATTGAAAAAAAAGCATAATAATATATAATATGCAAAACTTTCTAAAAAATTCAAAGCAGTACAATTGCATTTATTCATTTTTTTAAAATTTCTTTATTGTCTGCTGCTCTCGAAAACTTCTTTAACGATGTTAAACATTTCCGTCTACAATTGAAATTTCAAAAATCGAATGAGACAATGAAATAACTCCTCTCTCCTGGAATCTATTTTAAGGAGTGACAAAGTCACTTATTTCGAACAAGTTAACTTCTCCACCCTATTCGAAATTTTTGGAAAATATATTTTTTATTCTTAGATTCAAAATCGATTCTAAATATGTTTTAGTGTATACTTAAGGACACATTTTATTAGGGTTTATTCAATTTACCCTTTATTTAATTTTTTGCTTAAATTACTCAAGTTATATGACTAGTTGTATGAATAGTAAGTATGATAGAAAACGGGGCTTTTCTCTACTTTACCTCATCTTTCCAGCTGCTCTTAGCAAAATAAAGGAATAAATTTAATTTCTAATAAGTTTCATTCTTTCTAATTGTTTCAAGCAATTAAATGTTACTTCCAAACAACTTTCAATTCTGGTATTAATTAAATTATTGTCACGTTTCAATTGAGCATAAATGAAACTAACATTCTTGTCTTTTTACAGCGAAATAATAGAACAATTCCTTTTCATAATTTCTTTAAAAAAAAAATTAAAAAAAACATTAAAACTATTTGCTGAACACCATTAGGTACAGCTATAAAATAATTTGTTAATCAAAAATTTCTTAGTCTATCTTATTTCAGTTTTAAGGAAATTCTAAAGTTAGAGAAAAAAAAAATTTTTGAGATGATGATTCTAAAAATAGCACGGTTTTGGAAACTTTTACAATTTTCTTTTTTTAGTATTTGCTGTTTGACAAAATACGGCCTATTGAGCATTTTCCTGATATAGCAATATTTTTTTGAACTGTGTTAAAGTTGAGAAATAATGTTAATAACTTTTTAAGCAAATCTTTTCAACATTAACATTTTTAACAAAAGGAACTTTCTTAAAGTTAGCGGACGAGTATAAATTTGAACGTCAAAATAAAATTGTATGCCATAATTTTTTGTTTATTTAAAAGACAAAAGCAATGTGTTGTATTTTTCTGTGCACATTTATGCACTTACTTTTCATTACTCAAATAAATAAGAAGCAATAAAAAGCACAATCAATAACTTATCTTCATTTCTCAAAAAACTAGTACACTTCGTAAATATTTAGCTGTTCTGCATCGAATAATTTTAAACTGCAGAATGTTTTTAATTTCTTAACAAGATTTAAATATGATGTTAAGTTTACTTTTAATTAAAACTTGACAATAATTTAAAAAGAAATTTTACTTTAAAAGAAAACCTAAGTTAAAGTATTAAAAAAATTGATAAGTATGTTAATGGAAAAATAATATTTGTGGTAGCGTAAAGAATAAGATTTTGAGAAATGTTAAAATTTAATTAAATATTTGATAAAATCATTCTGCGAAACACGCGCGGGCAGGTAATTAGAAAATTTATTATACGATTAAGACGATATAATAAGATGTTAAGAAATTGTTAGATGCTTAAAAATGTTGGCTGCGTATTCATAATTATATAAACTATATATTGAAGTTGATAAATATATTATTCCAAATCTGGTTTATAATCTTATTCTATCAGAAACATGCTTTTATAAAACTCGACATTCGTTGAATAAAATGTTTTTTGTTCAATAAAATGTTTTATTTAAATTTCTTTACTAAATTACGAATAAATTTTTGAACGACTAAAAAAGAAATGTATATTTCATAATTTGCAAAAAAAAGATTAGCAATCGTTTTTGCGATCGCAATGCTCGGGGAAAAGACCGATTCCTGCCAAACGGCTTTCTAATAGAGCTATGTTCCATGTAGTTTTCAGAAACTGACGTACTTCCTTCTCCTATGACTCTCCCCATGCTAATGGTGAAAGTATATAAGGTGTTGCCATAGATAGAGGTCCCGCAGTCTTGTAAATAGTTGTATATAATTTTTAATTCTTGAATCAAGGCTCCTGTCCTGTGCACCAATGAAGCCCCTCGGGGGGGAGGCGAGGCAGGTCAGGAGTTGCGATTCTACTCTTACTTTTGTATATACCCCTCATTTAATGTAATTATATGTACCTATCTAATCAAGTTCTATTTTCATTCATTGTGTTTACGTACTAAGGCAATTTTGCCACTTATTTCACCCCTTTGATTTGAGCTTCTAGCTGCATACACTGCTACCCCACTCAGATGAATGAGTTAGGGCCCCTTCGGGGCCGATACTTAAATACCCACCTCACATAGGCATAGGCAGGTCCCGCAGTGGACTGATCGTTAAGACACGGTTTCCAGCAAATCACCGAAGTCAAGCATCACTGGCTGCGGTCAGTGTGCGGTAGGGTGACCACTTGGATCAGTCTGTGTAGGGACCGAGGGTGTGCGGTATTGGTCCTCGTTAAACTGTTCTACCGTAAAGTGCTCGACTTCGCGTGCAGGTCGTTGGACTACCGAAGCAGGGGTGCCATCCCCTCTGCAGAGGATCAGAATTGTGATGGCTTGTCTTCGGATCATCCTCAGGGATGTTTCCCAGACCGTCGCCAATAGCCCATTGTGCAGCTCTAGTGC